TCTTAAAGGGTTACTCCACCCCAAAATGAAAATTTTGTCATTAATCACTTACCCCCATGTCGTTCCAAACCCGCAAAAGCTTCGTTCATCTTCGGAACACAATTTAAGATATTTTGAATGAAAACCGGGAGGCTTCTGATTGTCCCATTGACTGCCTAGTAAATTACAATGTCAAGGTCCAGAAAAGTATGAAAGACATCGTCAGAATATTCCATCTGCCATCAGTGGTTCAACCGTAACGTTATGAAGTGACGAGAATACTTTTTGTACACAAAGAAAACAAAAAATATTTTGTTTTACCATACTGTGTTTCCGTGTGTCCCGGCGCGACGAGACAAAACCAATAAAACTCATTATAAACGAGGCATTTGTTGCATCCAGTGGGGACATAATTACTGATTATAATGACTTATACTGTCTTTTTACGCGGTGCGTTGCATCGCGCTGCGTAAACATAAAACCATGTCTGCATTTGTGACGGAGAAATGACAAACAACAAGCGCTACTCTACACTGCTCAAAACTCGCGTTTGAATCGTCAGTGGCAAATCCTTTAAATATGAAAACGTACTTACAGGCTGTGAGTCAGCATTATTTGTCAGCATCATAGACTGTATAGGGTCAGCATGCGCGCCGAAGGGGAAACAGGGGAACTGAATTTACCGGAACACCGGCATTGTAGGCTACTCTCCCAGGAAACAGTCCTCGTCCTCCGTAAAATGTGTTGCACACATCTGAATATTTGGTTTGAAGTGTTCTGGAACAGTGTTGTAAATACAAATTAACCACTGATTTCTAGTCGTGTCCTCTTTTGGAAGACCAAAATGTCAAAATGTATGAGTTAGGTTACTTAGAAGTTCACGTTAAAAATAATTTGCGTACATGAGTACAACACTTAAAAAATAATAGTTCTGTTTGCCTAAAATTGTAGACATTTCTCAACTTATTCGGGTTTACAGTGCAGCTATATATTAATAGATTGTTTTTGATTAATTGTTTATTACAATGAACGCTTTTAAAACATTTTTTGACAATTAGAAAAATGTTGCTTAAATTATCTTTTTTTTTAATAAACTATTAGTAAAAGTTACTGTTATTTAATCTAGTAGATCAACTACTAGCTAGCTAGCAAACAAACAAACAAACAAACAAACAAATCTTTTGCTGAGCCCTGAAATTATATAGAGTTTGTTTTTATAGTTTATTTACCATAAAAAATACATCTAGTTGGCAGTGTATTAGCAGTTAGTGAAAGACAGATACTGAGAACTTTAGTACCACCAAGGGCATAATTTGATCATAATTTGAACTTTTTATTGGTCAGGTTTGGTTAGTAGGTTCAAATTTAGGGGTGTTTTTTTTTTTTTAAATCAAAGCTTACTGAAGTATTTTTGGATGGTAATTTTTTTTGGCCTGTGATATTTATTGAAAGAGAAAATCAGCTGTGACTGGCTGACAGGGATGGAGAAGTTTCTTGATCTAGACATAAAAGCTTTTCATTTAGGGAGAGGATAAACATTTCAACCATGCACAGCTGGCGGCAGCTGCTGGCAGTGTTTTATCATGGCTTGTAGGACACTGGTAACACAGCAGTCTGCAACCAGAGTCTATCATATAGGAAGCCAATGAAAAGACCTGAGGTGGTTATCGCTGTGTGATTTTGAGAGATTGAAAATGAGATTGGGAGGAAGCAGAGCTCAGCTTTGTCACAGCTGAGCCTGAGATGATTGACATCAGAGGTGCGTAATTGGAGAGGAATTTCGATAATTTAAGGTCCATGCGGGCATGTGAATGAAATTCCTCCTTGTGTATAAAAGCATAGCACAGTGTATTGCCTGGTTATCTAAAGATGACAATTATTAGACATGGTCTCCATAGCAACTTATTTACTGGAATATGACTGATACTTATACGTAAACTGATACGAGTCCAGTACTCTGACTGATATTATTTGTGCAATTTCATTAACATTATTCATTAGATCTCAAGCCTGTCTGAGAAGTAGCATCTGTGATCAAATCTCTGCATTTCACTCTGACAAGTACTGTATGTAAAGTGCATCTGTAAATATTATAACCTCCATTGGTATTACATGAGAAGTTGTGGAAGTTTATGGATTAGAACTGTCACAAGAAAGAAACGTGGGCTGAATTTCCATACTTTCACAAGATGTAATGAAATTGATGAAGAACTGACTTCTTGACTTCTGATGAATTGCAATCTTTAGGTTGAGGTTTGCAGGTGTAATATATTTCCGAACTTACTTAACCCTTTGTGTTGTTTGGTAAATAACATACCACATTACCACCATGAAAGTGTAAGAGCTATAGGCAGAAACTTTCTTCAAGAAACTTTCTTCTTGGAACCTTTAACTTTTACAATGGAATAGTTCACACAAAAATACAAATTTACTGAAAATTGACTTGCCCTCAGGCCAACCAAGATGCAGATTAGTTTGTTTCTTCATTGGAACAGACTTGGAGAAATTTAACATCATATCACTTGCTCACCATTAGATCCTGAAGTGAATGGTTGCCATAAGAATGAGAATCCAAACAGCTGATTATTGTTAAACATTATTATTAAGAAAATCCATCAAGGCGACTTTAACCCTTCAAAATACGAGTCCCTAATTCATAGTACCAATTCCTCCAGTGAAAAAGTTCATCCCCTGTTGTTCTTTCACATCAAAATCCGATATATTTGCTTAAAACTGTTTTGAACTTTTTGTTTTTAAACAGTCCTTGATCTGTGAATATTTTTCAGAGTAGATGACTATTAGGTTTCACTTCATAAGACATTAATGGATGGACTGGAGTCGTGTGGATTACTTGTGGGTTATTGTGATGTTTTTATTAGCTATTTGAACTCTTATTGTATCTACTATTTGACAAGATTTACATGCTTGGACACAGGGATTAATTGCTATAAGGTCAAGTCATGTAAACTTTTATGCACACAATAACCACAGCTAATAGTTTGGAAGCTTAACAACTACATACAGAATTTCAATGAGGGCTGGAGTAGTAAAATATAGAAAATTTACATGAAATAATTAAAGTCAGCATGAAACGGAAATTGTGATCACTTGTGAAATGGAAAGAATGTGGGAAAGGACTTGATTTTGTCCATCGGGAATCGATTGGATTGTTGGGTCATTGCCATTTGCTTATTGCTGCGATCTCATGTGATTGACAGAAGGGATGGATTATTGTCCTGCTCTCGCACCGGTGTAGACATGATCAGAGAAGAGATGCCATTGCGAAGTGGGATGGGAAGGTAATGTTTTAAATTTTTTGAGAAAATAATGATGTGCACAGATAAATCATTTGGAATAAACACTGCAGTGTTCCATACAGAAGTAAGAATTGTTGATTTCCTGGGGACTTTAAAAGAACATGAAGCGAGAGATGAATCATGGATGGATCTATAATTAGCAGTTGGATGTGTGTCACTGTGCAGATGCTTTTGTTTCTCAACATCCAAAGATGGCAGTTCATTTATGCAGCGCATTCTCACGCTGTGTCCGAACCCAATTAATCCAACCAATTAGTGGACAGACAAATGTGTGGTGAATGAGAGCAGGCAATTTGAGTGAACACCTAATTGTTAATGTGGTTAGAATAGTTCACCATGTCCAGGACTACGTGGCATGATGCCTTTTGCATTTGCTTTCTGAAAAAAACAGCATGAGTCAAGCAGTGGATAGTTACTCATCTGCTGCCAGCCACAAAACCCTATGGTGTCTTCAAAATGCTGTTTTTCCATTGGAAATGCTATAGAGCATTCCATGCCCTCTGTATGCTTTTTAATTTTCCATTCCTTTGGGCTTGTTTGTATCTGAAATGTTCAAGGAGTAAAAGATTCATTGGATTTTTTTCATTGAGAGAAGTGAGGATCTCTATGCACATGCCAGACGCACACACACTTTGGCGTCACATACAGCAGTGCTATGAAAACTCTAAACTAATGTCTAAACACTCTAGAACTTGGACAGAAACAAGGTGGCAGTCATCTAGCATACACAATATGTCCACCTCATACACACTGACATGCTCCGACACATGAATCTTTTTAAAACATTTAACAAGTAAACTTTATGAGCTGGTACAGTGCTTCAGTCTCTGATATATATGCTGCTACAGTCAGCGTTTACGTTTGCGGGCCAGCTGTGGCTGTTTTTCATATTGATGATGTTTCATGTTTTTCTATCTGTCGTTCAGGTCGCCGCACTCATCCAGTACCTGATTGAAAACACGCCTGCCATATTTGGAGATGATCTGGAGAGTCTGTTCACCAGGCAAATTAATTCAGGGCAGGAAACAAGTGACTACGCAGGTAATTGTAAAGTTTTGCCCTTTGGACCTCATTTCACTGAGATGTAGATGCTTATTGAGGTACTTTACAGAAAACAATTAGCCTTTTTGACAGTGCAATTTCACAGTACTCCCACACACACATACACTGCTGGTGTATGTGGGTGTTTTAGAATTTGAGTTAGCGGTAAATTTATTCAAAGTAATAAATTTTAGATGCTCGTAAGACTCTTTTTTTAGAACTGCCTTTGCAGTTATTACAGTTTTGAGTATTCTTGTAGAGCAGGGGTCTCCAAACTTGGTCCTGGAGGGCCAGTGTCCTGCAGAGTTTTACTCCAACCCTAATTAAACACACCTGAACCAGCTAATAAAGGTCTTACTATAGGCATACTAGAAATTTGGTGTGTTGAGGCAAGTTGGAGCTAAACTCTGCACGATACCGGCCCTCCAGAACCAAGTTTGGAGACCCCTGTTATAGAGTTTCAGTATGCCAGCTTTGCTCATCTACATTTCAGCCCTTACTCTCTTAAGATCCTCTTAAGTTCTCAGGCTTAACTGAAATGCCAATAAGCCAACAGAATACCAATATACAGCCTATTGCACATGTACAGTATCTATTGCACTATTGGGAGAATTCATTAAACAGGTGTGCCAAAAATAGTTCTGTTTACTTAGAGCAATTAATGTTGCATTAAATAGAATTTAATTAAATAATACATGGGTATACATGATTTTGTTTAATCATGGCAGCATTAATTCATCAAATGATGATCAAATGATGGGGAAGTGCATTATTACCAGGCATTTATTCAGATGTGTAGTGTAGTTGAGCATACTTTTGGCATTTTAAAGTGACTAGTTCACCAAAAATATTAAAACGCTTTCATCATTTACTCACCCTTGTGTCATTACAAACTTTTGAAGAAGAACCTACTGTGAAGGACTGTTTATGCCCACACAATAAAAATCAAAGGGGTCGAAAACTACCTTTGATGCCACTGAGTTTCATTTGTTTGGACAAATGAAAAAATTATAAATAAAAATAATAATATTAATCTCTAAATATCTTCTTTTGTGTTGGGTGAACTCTCCCCGTAGGTCTGAGAGTGAGATGTAAGATTGCTTCTTGTTCATTTTTAATTAAATGGAAGGTCAAGAGTCTTTACATTATGGGACTGCATAGCCCTGCAGTGAGCTCTATTAAATACCGCAAATATGCACATTCAGCTAATGTAGTTGATCATCAGGGTATGCATACAGAAAATATGCATGATTTTCACTGTATACATGCAACATACCCAGTGGTTTTCTGATCAAATCAGAGATTTTCACTGGATTTCTTGTCTGTGCTGTGGGACACTCATAAATTCAATCATTTCTTTCAGAGTCATTCTAGTATGATTTTGGCATTTTTGTCACGTTTAGGATGAAAGCTAAACGTTTGGCCTGAGGAATCTGTATTCTTCTAGGATTTCTCTCTTTTCTTCAATTCAGACCTGCTCACCAATCACTGATGCTAAAAGTAATCCCCAGAGTATCCCTGGAAAACTGACCAGGAGAAAATGCAGCGTTTGCCATAATAGTTATCAATTTTAATCTCATAGAACCTCATGCTCTCAGAATCATTTAAGTGCCATTTGGCAATTTCCAGACAGGCTGACACACTCTTTGCCTTTGTATTAAACCATACCATGGAAGCTTGGTTCATGCACTGTTGCCAGGTTGCCAGCCTTATGCCAGGATATCTAGTCTCTGCAGGAATCTCTGATCCACTGTTATAAATGGTCATTGGGTTCTTATTTACTCACTTTAGCAGGGTCCAAGGATAATATTGAATATTGTATTTGTGGTTTTGGCAGCCAGCTGATTATTGCTCCAAAAGCTAACTAGATGTTTAAACTACAGTAGAGGTGACTCAATGAGCGCATGTACGAGGCAATACATGTATGTGAGATAATGTCATTGAAACTGTCACTCTGTTCATTACTGTCATAACTATCCCAATTTTTGTGCTCTGTCTGTGTGTGTGTGTGTGTATATATATATATATACACTACTGGTCAAAAGTTTGGGATCAGTAAGACTTGTAATGTTTTTTAAAGAAGTCTCTTCTGCTCATCAAGGCTGCATTTATTTGATCAAAAATACAGAAAAAAACAGTAATCTTGCTAAATGTTATTACAATATAAGATAATGGTTTCTATATTTTAATATCCTTTTAAAATATAATTTATTTCTGTGATGCAAAGCTTAATTTCCATCAGCCTTTACTCCAGTATAAAGTGTCACATGATCCTTAAGAAATCATTGTAATATGCTGATTTATTATTAGAATTATCAATGCTGGCAACAGTTGTGCTGCCAAAGATTTTTTTGGAAACTGCGATACTTTTTTCAAAAGTTTTTCAAAGCTTTTCTTGGAAAGGGTTCAAATATGCAAAAGATGCTGGAATACCAAAGAATTTGTGAGACCTGAAGGATTTTTCTGAAGAACAGCATGTCAGTTTAACTGTTCAGGACAAACAAGGGACTCATGAACAACTATCACAAAACAAGAAACAAAACATCTGTGGATCATCCAAGTAACATCACAGTATTAAGAATCAAGTGTATGTAAACTTTTGAACGGGGTCATTTTTTAAAAATTCAAGTATTAGTTTCTCTTGTGGACTATATGTAAACGTCTTTTATATGAAATATCTTATTCAGGTCAATACTAAATAAAAAAATAACATGCATTTTGTATGATGCCTCTTGTTTTGGTAAAATAATTAACATTTTGCAGATACTGCAAAGTGTATGTACAATTTTTATGTGTGTGTGTGTGTATATATATATACTGTATATATATATATATATATATATATATATATATACATACACATACATACAGTTGTGGTCAAAATTTTTATATATATAAGATAGATTTATAGATATATAGATAGATTTATGTTTTTATGCACACTTTCCACAGTGGCTGAAATTAAGATTGCACTTATTTTATAAGCATTTATTTTTAACCAAATGAAATACGTTTTCATATCTCTTCAGTGTTAGCCATTAAGTTTTGTTAAACATCTCAAAACTCTTCTCTTCTCTAGATGGTTTGTATCTTCTTCAGCACTCCTCTTCAGAGGACACAGATCAAGACTTCACCGTTTCTTCCCAACTATTGCCTGAAGTTCATCCTCTTTTCCTCCCTCTGGCTGCACTTTCTCTGAAAGAA